TCTTACACGCAGCAACCCAGAAACTCAAACCAAATCCCTAATCAGGTAATCCCTACAGTGGAAGAGGTTATGCGTTTGTGTGAGCTTAGGAGATATAAAGATGCAATCGAATTGCTTGATAAAGGAGCTATGCCTGATGGAGAATGTTTCTCTTTGCTTTTTGAGTCTTGTGGCAATCTGAAATCACTTGAGCATTCAAAGAAGGTACATGATCATTTCCTGCAGTCTAAGTTTAGAGCTGATCCTAAACTGAACAATATGGTGATTAGTATGTTCGGGGAGTGTAGTAGTGTCACTGATGCTAAGAGAGTGTTTGATCACATGGCCAATAAGGATATCGATTCTTGGCATTTGATGATGCGTGTGTACAGTGATAACGGTATGGGAGATGATTCGTTGCATTTGTTCGAAGAGATGGCGAATCAAGGGCTGAAACCAAACGAGGAGACTTTCCTTACTGTTTTCCTGGCTTGTGCTAATGTGGGTGGGATCAAAGAAGCGTTTTTGCATTTCGATTCGATGAAAAACGAGCACGGGATTAGTCCGAGGATGGAACATTACTTGGGTCTTTTAGATGTTCTTGGAAAATGTGGACATCTTGTTGAAGCCGAGCAATACATCCGCAGCCTTCCGTTTGAACCCACTGCTGATTTCTGGGAAGCCATGATGAACTACGCTAAGCTACATGGAGATATCGATTTAGAGGATTATGCGGAAGAACTGATGGTTGATCTTGACCCCTCAAAGGCTTTAATCAACAAAATTCCTACCCCTCCACCCAAATCGTTCAAGGAGATAAGTATGCTTTCTAGTAAGAGTAGGATCCTTGAGTTCCGAAATCTGACGTTTTACAAGGATGAAGCGAAGGAGATGGCTGCAAAGAAGGGAGCGGTTTATGTTCCGGACACTCGATCTGTTCTGCATGACATTGATGAAGAGGCCAAAGAGCAGGCACTACTCTACCACAGTGAGAGGTTAGCGATTGCTTATGGTATCATCAGCACCCCAGCTCGGAAGACACTCACAATCATCAAGAATCTCCGTGTGTGTGTGGACTGTCACAACTTTATCAAGATCATGTCCAAAATCATTGGTAGGGAGTTGATTGTGAGAGACAACAAACGTTTCCATCACTTCAGAGATGGTAAATGTTCTTGCGGTGATTACTGGTAAGGTTTCATTGAGCGGCGTTTGTTTTCCGTGGCTTTCGTTATCGCATCATGTATAGCGCTCTAATCTCTCCAGAAACTCGTGCTATCTAGTTGGGAATGGAACAGTATTTGTTACGATGTCATGTAACAAATTTCATCTGCTTTATTAGACCCTTTTGCATGAGTTATATCAAGTTTGTGTTTCCACCATACTAAGGTCTTGAATAAGTTATTGCTTTTTTTTTTTATCTATTATTGGTCTTATTCCGGAAGAACATTTGAGATCGTGTCGATTCGAAGTTGCAAGATTTCATGTCTTGAAATTAGATTGTGTAT